TTATATTTTATGATTTAAAAAAGAACAAAAGAAACAGTGACCTGACCTGTGGGGCCAGCATTTATGATCCCAAATGCTTTCATATCCCACCACTCTGCCGAGAGCCTGGCCTCTCCCATCCATCACAGTTTCTCACTGCCACTCCCTCTCTAGCTCTGGGCTCCATACCCGCTCTGCCTGTAGCCACCCACCCGCTCTGTCTTCTTTGCCTTCCAGCCTCCAGCAGAGCACTCCTCACTCCACCCACTCGCTGTGAGATTAGACAAAGATGAGAAGCAGGGACTAATGATGGTGGCTGGTGGCCAGAGCTGCAGGAGAGAGGTAGAACAGTCTTCAGGATGACAAAGCGTGACATCTGAGCCCAGGGACTCGGGAGGGGCAGCAACCTGCTCTGATCACTTTTCCTGGCCATGTTCCTAGACAAGTGTGATGGGGTCTACCAGCCCTGCTCCCTCCCTGACCCTGCACCCCAAATGCCTTGGACTGGCCCTGCTCAGAGACATTTAAGATATAAAATAAATGCAGCCAAGGGGCTGGAATGAACTGGAAAAGAAAGCAGGCTGTCACCTGATGAGGCTCAGAAAGGTACAGAAGGAGCAGATACAAAATGAAGGTGGCCAAGTCTAACTTCTGCCTCTTCAAAAAGGTAAACTGTCCCCATCAATAATGCCCACAGTCCCAAACAAAGAGCTGCTTCATCAGACACACCACCCTACATGCTCCTGCATCTATTTCTATGCACCGTTGGGTCTGTTAGTTTATTGTTGACTCACAGACTTTACTCACAGTTGTGGAGTTTATTCGGGAAATAAATAGGTTGGAGAATGGGGGAGCCAAATAATATCACCAATGTAAGTCCAAGTTTAGTCCAGCAATCATGAGCCAAGTTAACAGGGCACAATTACTCACTTAGTGACAGTCCAGAGTCAGTTCAGCAACACAAATGCAAGAAACTTCTGGTTTCCTTGAACATCCAGCTAACTTTATCTCAGTATAGTTATAAGGCAGCTTTCCCTTCAATCATCGGGAAAGCAAAACTTTCAACTATAGCCTAAATGCAGAGTTCCTCTAGTTACACCTTGCCACAATCTCCACCCTCTCTCCACCACTGTCACCAGGCTACTCACAGTATAGTAAGCTCTCTCTCTTATCTTGATCCCATAGTTGTTGATGATTTGTAAGATCATCTGTCCACAGTTAAGGTAGTTAGAGATCAAATCTCCTCCCCCAAAGGGGCTAGTGTAGTGGTTAGAAAAACCAATTTTTAGGGTTTCTAACAACATAAAACGTCAATTATACAAAAGCTTGTACATGGAATCTGATGTGCAACTATTGGTCTCATCCTGTCCAAAGCAAAGATTGAAGATTGAAGATTGAAGAACATCATGGACTCAAGGCAACAATACACTCAAAGGATTAACGGGCTGTGCAGACCCCAGCCTCCAGGACACCGAGACCAGAACTAGATGGTGCCTGGCTACCACTTCCAGCTGCTCTGAAAAGGGTCACAGTAGGGGATTCTGGGTAGAGTGGGAGCAGGCTTATCATCTGATAAGAGACTGGTTGTTGTCCTTGTTAGGAGCTGTCGAGCGAGCATGACTCATAGCAACCCTATGAACAACAGAACTGAATCCTGTCCTATCCTTCACCGTCTCTGACACGCTTGAGCGCATTGCTACAGTCGCTTGTCAATCCATCTCATTGAGGGTCTTCCTCTCTCTTACTGACTCTCCACTTTCCCAAGCATTATGTCCCTCTTCAAGGAACAGCCCCTCCTAATAACATGCCCAAAGTATGTGAGACGAAGGTTTGTCATCTTTGCCTCCAAGGGCCCCTCTGGTTGCACCTTCTCTCTCCAAGACACGTCCATTTGTTCTTTTGGCAGTCCATGAGATATTCAGCGCTCTTCTCCAACACCAGAACTCAAAGACCCTGATTCTTCTCCTGTCATCCTTATCCATTGTTCAGCGCCCAGATGCAGAGCAAGTGATTAAAAAGATCCTGGCCTGAATCAGGAGCACCTTAGTCTTCAAACTGATATCACTGCCCTTGAGTAATTTGGAGAGGTCCCTGACAGCAGACTTGCCCAACGCAATATGAGACAGGTCTATAAAGTGAACAGTAACAGCAGGCCCTTGTCAGAACTGCTGCCCATGGGATATCAGAAAGGCAGCTTTTGCTGAGGGTAAAGCTCAGAAGAGTGTAAGGAAGAAGAGCGGAGGATGAATGGAAACAGGAGACACAGGGAGGGAGAGGGAAAGGTGCTGTTACAACGTGGGGATCAAGAAACAAAACCAAGGTTTTATATGAAAAACCAATTTATCCTGTGGACTTTCACCCAAATCACAATAAAAAGTTTAAAAAAACAATAGTAAAGAAAAGCTAAGTAACTTCCCTAAGTCGCATAACAACGTGAAAGACCCACTATTGTTTTCATACCCATTATCAGATGAGGCAATTGAGGCACCGCAGCACTAACATGCCCAGGTCCCTGAGGAGAGTCACAGAGATCACTCTGAATCATGAATCCTTTCAGGTCTGGGAAATGCGCCTTAGTGAGGACTCAGCCAGTACCCCAGAGAGCTCCACCCCCTTGTCTGCTCAGAGGGGCCACTGAGCCTGGTGCTGGCAGCTGGGGAGACATGGTTGCATTCAGGCTGATGACTGGAGCTAGAGGTGACTTGGAGGGGGTGCAGGAGGTGGATTCCTCTCATTACAACCCCTCAAAGGTATGGGACAAGAGAGTGGGGGAGGGGCAGGAAGCCACAGAGAGACAAAGCCTGTCACTTCACCCCCTCATCCCGGCAGGGACAGAATCAGGAAATAAAGGATTTGCCTACTTTCTTAAGGTGCTCTGTGCAGTGCACTGGGGGTTTTCACCTCTTGTGTAAGATCAAAGAGTTTCTCTTTTGCAAAACGATTGCTGCAACACTGAGGGAAAAAATGTTTCTGTTTGCAGTGGAGATGGTTACAAAACAGCTCTGGGGATGTGACACCCCAACATCCACAAAGCCCCTTCTCCTTCTTCAGTTGCTGGGCGTAGCCTATTTTCTTTCAGGTAGGAAGATCAGAAGAAGAGAGGTGTCGAGAATTTGGAGAAATGAAGTTAAAAATAAGTGTGAATTCAATTGCATCAAATGCATGTGAAATTTAGACAATGAGTAAGGAAGACTGGAGAAGAATCAATGCCTTTAGATTGTGTTGGTGAAGAGTATTGGATATCCTTCGGATTGCCAAAAGAACAAACAAATCTCTCTTAGAAACGCAGCCAGAGTGCTCCTTGGAAGCAGGCATGGTGAGCCTTCATCTCATACTTTGAGCAGGCTGTCAGGAGCTGGCATCCCTGGAGAGGGACATCTTGCTTGGGAAGGTGGAGGGTCAATGAAGGAGGCAGACAGGATGGATTGACAGAGCAGCTGCAGCAATGGGCTTGAGTGTGCTTAAGCTGAAGCTGAGACAATGGGAGGGATGAGTCAGGAGGAGGGGTCTCTTTCCGTTGTCATAGTGACAACAACAACAATCCATTTTACAAAGATCCTAGTTCCACGTAAGCTCGGTCCAGGTCCCAGGATGGAAGGGGGCTAGCAGACAACAGGCCGTGGACAGACAAGAGGGAGACCCTGCTGAACCCCCTCGGCAGTGCCCTGGACTGAATGGTGTCCCCCAAATACAGGTACATCATGATCTCACATGGAAACTATGCAAGCGATCTGATAAATCTGAGAGTTGTAAAAGGATTAGGGTAGAACACCTCACCCCTTGATCCCATCACATCTCTGATCTGATGGAAGGGGAAAGTCCTGAGGGTATGACCTGTAATGCCTTTAATCTCATAACAGATAAAAAGAAAAGAAATCATGCCAAAAAGCAAGAGGTGGCAACATCAAGTGAGTGAGAACTGCTGAGGGTGGGGTGTGAGTCCCTGGGCCCCAGGAATGCATGGTGTTCTCCAAGGAACGCCAGGCCTACAGATGCTGAAGGAAGCAAGGTCCTTCCCCCAGAATGTACATGGAGGGCCCTAGAGCTGGTTCCCTGCGCTGGACTTCCAGCCTCAGCCTCGTAAACTGTAAGAGATTCAATGTGTTTGTTAACACCAGACACCTGGTACTCCTGTCAGAGCAGCACTGGAGACTGAAGAAGGGGAGTCCCCCTGGGGGTTTGCTGGCCTGAGCAAACTTAACCCTAGAATGCAGAATCCAGCCACTTGGCAACTGAGTTCTGCTGGGATCAGAAAAGGGTGCTGGTGTTCTGGTCCTGTTAACATGAAAAAGGGCCTGGCTTCTGGTTATGCTTCAGGAGGTGGGGAAGTGGCACCCATTCTGGTGACAGTGGCAATTTGTTTTTTTATTGTATTATTTTTACGTGTACTGTCAAATCAGATCTGACTGGTACAGGAGGAGATTGCCCCCTCCTTCTCCAGCAGAGCATCTGGTGGATTTGAACCGTGTACCTCTGGGATTGCAGTGCAGTGTCTTGTCACTAGGCCACCAGAGTTTCCTTACAGTGGCAATTTTGTATCCCCAGGTTGCAGTGCCCTGCGGCCAGTCACTGTCCTTTCTGTCACTCCCTGGCTAACCCCAGCTGAGGACCACCACCTGTCCCCCAAACCTCCCAGTTCCACCTCTTTGGTGGTTGCCACCAATTTCTGGGGTGTCAAGCTGTCCTCCTCTGCCTCCCGGCTCCTCCAGCTTCAGCAACGCCCACCCACCTTGTTTCAGTGTCCCGGGGGTCAGCAAGAGGAGGGAGGAGCTGTGAGCCCAGCTGAGAGCGGAGAGGACGTCCCTCGCCCCTCCCCGAGCCACCAGCACCAAGGCATCAGCTAAACATCCTCGTGGTCCCTGAAGGCGTCCCCTGTGAAGTCTGCTATGTTCAAACAGCAGCCAATGCATCCCCGGAGACAGGTCCCGGGAATTAGCCGCTTGGTGGGATGAAAGCTGCTCTGATGTGTGAGGGAGCCGAGGACGTGAGACAGTGGTGGAGACAAGCGGGGACAGACGTACCTGCGAGCTGCACGGTCCAGGGGAGCAGCAGCAAAGCCAGGAGCCAGCAGGTCATGAGTGGGGCGGCTGGCGCGGTGGCCCAGGGAACTCGCCCCCACGGAGCCCAGCTGTCCTCGGACAAAAGGCCAGGGTCCCGGTGCCTCCTTCCTTCCTGGTCCCTGGAGAGCACAGCTCGCTGGGGAGTCACTGCAGTTCCCCTTCTGGTGGACGAGGTTCCTCCCTGGGTCCCCGCCTTCCCAGGCCCGCCTTGGCCTCCCCTCCTCTCCATAACTCTTGGGGTGGCCCAGCGCCTTGGCCTAGCAGTCAGCCTTGGGCTCCACCCCCCACCCCCACCCCGGCTCCCCCAGGCTTTGGAGACAGTGACAGGGAAGAGACCACAGAGCTGAGCTCCTCATTCTGAAACTCTTTGAAAATGACCAAGTTCACCCAAACTTCCCCTCTGAGATTCCAGGAACCAGGAGCTTGTAGAGGAGATGGTTCAGTGTATGGGGGGCAGGGGGAAGCTATGAATGGAAGAGGCTGGGGCCACACCTTCTCAGTGCCCCCTGGGGACCACTCAGGGCCACCACTCCCTCACCTGTCCTCTCACGTGGCTCACCTCCCCCTCCATGCAGTGAGAGCCCACAGATTGCTTCCCTGATGCCCACCCTCCCTGCTAGAGGCTGCAACCGACCTCCCCTGGCCCCCTCTAGCGGCCCCTTCCACCAGGTTGGGAGTGTCCCCCTCAGCATCTTTGGGCCAGAATATGAGTGCAGCGCAGTGGGTGTGGGTTTGGATGTGGTTGAGGGAAGGGGGTCTGAGGGACTGTGGAAGGATAGGTCACTCAACTTGCAGGGGAAAGCTGAGATTGGGGGTTGAATTGTGCCTTTCCCCACCCCAGTATATCAGAGATATGAAAATGGCACATGGTAGGACAGAGAGTAAATCTGTTCATGGGCGGCGATGAGCCGTACTCGACGGCACCGAGCAACAAGAGAATGTTCACAGCCTGCCCCTCACCTGGACACACTACACCTGTGAACCGGCCCTCACCTGGACACGCTCTGCACCTGTGAA